AGGATAGGATAGGATAGGATAGGATAGGATAGGATAGGATAGGATAGAATGCTTTATTGGCCAAGTGTGATTAGACACACAAGGAATTTGTCGTGATGCAAATGCTCTCAGTGTACATAAAAGAAAAAAATACATTCATCAAGAATCATAAGGTACAACACTTAATGATAGTCATAGGGTACAATAAGCAATCAAATCACACTAGGAAACAGTGCATATAGATCGTAAGGATACAAGCGACAAAGTTACAGTCATACAGTCACAAGTGGGAGGGATGGGTGATAAGGAGTGATGAGAAGATTAATAGTAATAGTAGTGCAGACTTTGTAAATAGTTGGAAACTATTGAGGGAATTACTTGTTTAGCAGAGTGATGGCATTTGGGAAAAATTCCCCTTGTGTCTAGTTGTTCTGGTGTGCAGTGCTCTATAGTGTCGTTTTGAGGGTAGGAGTTAAAACAGTTTATGTCCAGGATGTGAGGGGTCTGTAAATATTTTCACAGCCCTCTTTTTGGCTCATGCAGTAAATATATATAAATTGAGAGCAAACCCCATTCCTTACTAGCACTGATGGTGTTACCTAGTTGGGTAATGAAATGTCTGCAAAACAACAACAACAGTAACCCCAAACTTAGAGGCCTCATTTCAACCCTGAGCTACAAATATTCTCCTTTATCAATACATCACATGATTTTCTGTTTCTAAAGGTAGCTAGATACTGTGACTGTCATCTAGCATCCACCTGTGTTTCCTTCCCCAAATTTGAATGTCATGAAATGTGGCTTGCTCTGCATCTTTTATCAGCAACACATTTGCTTCTGAGGTTTTTTGTTTTTTTTATTATTACAATGAATGTCAACAGGCTTCTTCTTCCTTAAAAATAGCTCAATAGATTATGTCCCTCTCTATGCATAATGCAGAAGCGTGAATCCCGATGGCTCTAACTACCCCATTCCTTTAAACTGCATGAAATATTTTGAGCCATTGTTGTTGCTTTTAAATCTCTTGAGAGGAAAAATTGTGTAAACGATCTGGGTAGCCAAATTGGAGTTACCAGATGTTTACACATCTGCGCCACACACATATCGGAGACTGTGAACACGTCTGTTAAATAAATATTCTACACATATTTCAGATAACAGATAATCAGAGTTGGAAGGGACCTTGTAGGTCATCTAGTCCAACCCCCGCCCAAGTAGGAGTCCCTTCACCTTTTCCGACAGAGGGCAGTCCAGTCTCTTCTTCAAAGCTTCCAATGATGAAGCTCCCACAACTTCTGTTCCATTGATTGATTGTTCTGTCAGAAAATTTCTCCTTATTTCCAGGTTAAATCTCTCCTTGTTCAGTTTCCATCCATTATTCCTTGTTTGGCCTTCGGGTGCTTTAGAAAATAGCTTGACCCCCTCCTCCTCTCTGTGGGAGCCCCTCAAATATTGCAAGACTGCTATCATGTCTCCCCTGGTCCTTCTCTTCACTAGACTAGCCAGGCCCAGTTCCTGTTCTACAGAT